TAACTTGCAAACTTACTGAGGGTGCACTCGATCCCCTCATCCAGATCATCGATAAAGATATTGAACAGGACCGGCCCCAATACTGACCCCTGGGGAACAGGGCTCAGCTCCGGGAAGGGTTCACAGCCCATTTCCAGCCACCATCGCATGTTTTGGGATGACAGAGCATCACTCCCACCAAGGGTGACCCGTGACACCCCCTTGCCAGCTCTTCCTGCCTGTTGGCTCCTCGCTCTCAGCTGAAACTGCCCTGGTTCCAGGAAGGGAGAACAAGGGCTGGAACAGCACAAATTCACAAACCCATTGACTGTGCTCAACTCTGAGCAGTCACTGGCACAGTGACAAGGAGGAGCATGCCAGGCGCCGTGCATCAAGGAACCGCTAGAGACAGCCCCGAGGGCAAGCCGTGGGATCAGCTCCAGGAGATGCCACGTCTCTCACAGGCAGAGGCGGGACGGGATGCAGGATACACATTCTCATCCCGGCTCTCACCACCTCCTCACTGCCCTGTTCCCCTATTGCAGAGCACGGGGCTGGTAAAAGCTGTGGTGGAGGAGAAGGATGAGAGCAAAGACATCCTATGGATTAACAACCGGCCAGCCCGTGCAGGCTTGGCCAAAGGCCATAGCTGGTCAGGAAGAGCTTGCTTTAATGCTGAGCCAAAGCACGAAGCCCGGAGGCTGCAGCTCGCCCACGCCATCCAGCACAACGCTTGCCAAACCTGCAGGACCCCAGAGGACTTCCCAGGGAGTCCATTGCCTTCTGGCTAGGTTTCCTTGTTTGGAAAGGCTGTCATTAGCTCCTCAACAGCAATGAAATCAGATGAAAGTGTGCTAGATACTTGGTTGATCTGCTGCCCACATCACCGCAGAGCTACTGCACAGCCACAACTGGGGATGAAAGGACTGAGTCAATGCAAGGTGCCCACAAAGGGAGAAGGGCCTGGGGGGAAACCCCTGCCCTGAAGCTTGGCAAAACACTGGAAAATCATGAGAACTGGACCTCTGCCTCCCCAGAGAGTGCCAGAGTACATCTGCCTCTTACTTGGCATCTCTAGAAATTAAAGTTTCCTGGGGAGAAGAAGCTCTGCCAGTGAGCAAAGCAGCACAGAGCATCGCTGAGACCTGCAGCGCAGAGGGAGAAGCAAACTCAGCCCTGAGCTGGCAAGGAGAGAACGGCGAGAGCCGATGTCATGGTGCAGCAGGGCCATCAGAAGCTCTGGGACAGGCAGAGACATGAAGACTTTCCACCTCAAGGCCACTGCACAGTCCTTGGCCCTGCGATGCCCAGCTAGATGGAGTGACCATCCCCGTCGACCAGCTCCCAGGGGATGGGGCAGGAGCAGCTCCATGAGGGCACGCAGGACCCTGGGGAAGCTCCCAGGGAAGCCTCCGGTCCCACAGCTCACACCCATCACCCAGCTGACGCCGAACGCCAGTTTGCCCAATGCTGCATGCGGGACGCTCTATAAATAGGGGAGACTTCAGGCACCTCAGGGCTGCAGAAGTTGAACACGCCATGGCTGAATTAACTGTAGCGGCTCAGCTGTGCTCCTTCGGCTCACAGCATCCCTCCTCCCGGCGGCACAGCAGCATGAGCACCCACAGAGCAACAGCTAGGGCTCAGGTTGGAAACACCGAGGACAAGGAACCTTCCCAAGGCTGGGATCCTCTCCCTGGATCTGGCTGTCAAGCTCTCATTAGATACAAATCCATACAACTCATGGAGAGATGGATAACGTTGCCCCGTCCGCCTGTGCGTGTAGGGGTAACGGGTACGAGCGACCTGACCCACTTGGCCGTTCCCCAGCTCAGACAGGTCTAGCACTGCCTGCGGTGGTGTCGGGATGAGCAGACTTCAGCCATAAAAGCCTGCCCAGCACGTCACAAACTGCCACCCGCCTCCTCGTCCCTCAGGACCCCTTCTGCTCACCCGGGGGAGGCTGCAGGGGCCGACTTCCAGCACTGTGCAGGCATCTTCACCCAACGAGACATTTTTAGCTCAGATAAATCCCGTGGTCATTCCTGAGATGAAAGTGTCACAGGAATCCTAAATAAGCCCATCGCAGCAGCGGGGGCTCTGGTGCCAGAGCAGCCCCCAGGCTCTCCTGGCTCAAGGGCAGCTTGGGATGCACCCGTAGCTTGCCTTTCTGCACATCAATTAACCTGGTCTCACACAGTGGGGCGGGGGCTGATTAATTCTCGCAGTGCCTTCGGAGATGGCAGATGCTTTATTTTTGGCTCCTCAGTCTCGCACATAACAAAACTGTTCATAAAAACAAGCAGCGTCTGTGCAGCACCTCCATGGCTTCAAAGCTGCACACCCACCACAGAAAGCTCCTCCAAGCCTCAACTCCAATTTCTCTAGGAGCAAAACGTAATTAGATTTAAGATGTCGTTTCTCATAACGGTCAAAACGGAGAGGAAAAAAATGAAAGAGCGACACCTCCCGCCGCAGGGGGCAGGGACACTGCCGGGGGCAGGCACGGTCCAGGCAGAGGACAGCCACCGAGCATCTGTCCTGCCGTCACCCACCCCAGGACACGGCGCATCCTGCAATCCCTCCGTGGCATCTGCGGTCTCAGCGTGCCTGGGAGCAGAGCAAGTGAGTAGCAGGGGGTGAGGGCAATGATTAAGGCTGGGGCAGAAGCAGTGGGAGAGGAGAGGACATCCACTTCATCACATCAGACAGGCTCCCAGGCTCAGCGTGTGCCGGACGGGCAGGGGTGATGGCGAGGGTCACTGAGGCACAGCCTCTGGCACACACAGACATGGCGGCACCCAGATAAAGAGAAGGAGCGGATCCTGAGAGGGCTGTGGGGAGCCCCAGGGGGTGGCTACGGCCCGGGGCAGTGGCTCTACCTCACCATTTCTTCTGCAACTGTCCCACTTCCAGAGCAAGAAGCAGATGCAGTTAGGACAGAGAAGCTCTCCAGGTGCTGGGGAGCTTCCCCAGAGCAGCTGAGAAGTCCCTGCTCTCGTACTTTCAAAATCCCAGTGATTTACTGGCTTTGCTGTAAGAGCTCCAGGCACTTACTATCTTTGGATTCATCAGCTGAAAACGAGAGCTGAAGATTTTGTGGAGCTTTGTGCAGTCACCACATCCCAGCTGAGCTCCGTTCAAAAGAGCCCGTTGAAGAGCCGCTGGAGCAGCAGGGACTGAAGGTGCTGGCTGGGACACCCCAGGACAAGCAGAGCCCTCTGCCCAGGAACCACTCCTGATAAAACCTCAATAAGCTCGTTGCTTTCGATGAGCCTTTTTGCCTCTGTCCTGACAGAGAAACCCAGCTTTTGCAAAGGACTGTGCACAGGACCGTGTACCTTCCCAGCACAGACCCCATCCTGCGTCTGCTCCACACCTCCAGCCCGAAGGAAAAGCAGGTCCCTCGCCGTCACTAACCAGGACACGTCCTCTGCACCCAGCCACGGCACCACGGGGAGTCCTGAGCAGCTTTTCCTTGCGCCCCATCAATGCTCTGTCGGGCACTGACAGCCCAGCGGCATGGACAGAGCGAAGACAAGTATAATTTAATATATCGGTATAATTTAAGCAAAGTGGCAGAGTTCTTCCAAAATCTGGGAGTAAAAACCCAAGAGCAACGTCCGCAGACAATTAAGGACCTGGCTAAGTCCTTTCAAATCTTCTCTCTTAGGAGGCAGGCATAGGGATACCTTAAATTCCTATTTACGTTACAAGGCACCCCTGTGGCTGGGTATCACCTACAGAACGCCGCTAGCTGAGGAGTGAGTCAGTCAGCCGGAGCAGCGGCACACTCCTCATCCTGCTTTACATTAGACGTCAAGCTCTTGTTGAGCCTCCCGTCAGTCAACCCTTCCATTCAGCCGCGGGAAACCTTTCTATTATTATTATACATCATAAAGACTAATCTTAACAGAGGAAAGGCTTGCACTGCCAAGTCTCCTAGACCTTCACAGAAACTACCATACCCCACCAGCACCCAGAGTCCCAGGCATCTGCAGCTCGTGAAGGACATTCCCAGAGGCGACCATCACGGACGCCGTTCTGACTCAAAGATCTCCTACCTTATTATTCACACGGAGTTGTGAAAGGGAAGAAAAACACCCATTTGCTTGTGAGAAAAAAAACAAACTGGCCTAGGCTTCAGACTCTTTCCTTCTGGCACAAAACCCCATGATGCCTCCCTAACAATGAGATTATTTCCAAAAATCTCTTTAAATCTCTGCTGGCCCTGACTTCTCCCTTGCCTGCTTATTCCCCTGATTACGGTGGTGGTATGGTTCTTCTTTGCTGGGAGATGACCACGTTTCTCTAAAACTAATCAGGTATCACCGCTTGCCCAGAAGAACCACCAGGAGAGCAGGTTTTGTGGAGAGGCAGGACCAGGCTCTGCGTCTCTGGGTGATGCAGGGAGATCTCAGTGCCACAGTGGTGACAGCCTCAGAGGTGTCACCTGGGGCCCACCTTCGGCCACAAGACATCACTACTGCTGCTAAGAGCCATCGTGGTCCTGGGCCCCGGGAGATGCCTGGGGCAGGCACCGAGGCTCGCGCTCCTCCTGCGGCAAGGGAAACCGCTGGGAGCAGCGAGTGCCCCACCTCAGGAGCTCACTTCTCTGGTTTTATATTTAGTTCAGTTCACCCACGGTGAAAAGCACCCAGAGGAAAGGCAAGGCAACGCATGGGAGTCCGGAATTCCCACTAGCTTCTCTGAACTCAGAATTAGCTACAAACAAGGAATAAATTTCTCTCCCTGTGCTCTCTGCGCTCTCTACACAGCATTTAAGAAACTCCGAGGGGAGTTTTTGCTCTTTGCTGGATGCGGTTTGACACCGAAATGTAAGGTACCACCACTTGTCCATCCCCCAGCAGGAGCCATGTCCCGGTTGCTCCCACAGGTGCCCGCACAGCTCCCGTGCACCCCCGGGTTTTCACGGCAGCTCTGATCTGGTGCGAGCCAGTGCAGGATGCGGCCCCACGGTGCGCACAGCCCGGCTGTGTTCCCCCTCCAGGTTTACTCACTGATCTCCAGCTGCCTCTGAATCCTGCCCTTGCAGCGCTCCCGGTAGTCGGTCTGCGTGGCGTTGTACTCGGACATCACCTCCACGAACTTGCGCGACAGCGTCGAGTGCTGCAGCAGGGAGAGGAAGAGAGAGCGGGGGTGAGGGTCCCGCGGGAGGGAGAGACCTGCCCGCCCCGAGCCGGGAGGAGGCTCAGCCCTGAGCACCCCCGCACCTCTAGCAGCCCAAAGAGCATTTCTAGCCCAAAAGCTGCTCTGCGGAGTGTGACGAAGTGCAAGGGAGGCAGGTGGCAGCAGGGGACACGGCCCCGGTGGGGTGACCAGACGCTCCCCTCGCCCAAGCCCAGCCCAAGCATAGCCTTAGCCCCCAGAGACGCCCTGGGGTGGCGGCAGACCCGCCGGGCACGGCTGCCAGCACCCTCCTGCACCGCACCACAGCTTGTGCCCAAGCAGCCCAGAGCTGAGGCCACAACGGTGCCCTGCGTTGAGCACCGCCTGCCTCTGCCATGCTGCCGGGATGTGCCGGACCTGGCACGGGTGCAGGACGGACCCGCGGTGGTCACTTG